AGGGCAGGTCAACAGGCTGGAAACCCACAAAACTGCTGGTGTTGCAGTCTTGAGTCTGAAGGCAGTTTGGAGGCAGAATTTCTTTTTCTTTTGAGGACCTCAGGTTTTTTTTTAAGCCTTTAGCTGGTTGGATGAGATCCACCCACATATTGAGGGTAATCTGCTTTATTCAAAGTCTACTGATTTAAATGTTAAACATTTTTAAATATCTAAAAAAAAGTCTTCACAGCAACATCTATACTGGTGTTTAACCAAACAGCTGAGTCTGATAGCCTAGCCAAATTGATACAGTAAATGAACCATTATAATCTACCCCTTGTTACATTGGCACCCACCCATATCTCTTTAAAAACATACTTGTTATAAGCTGAATTGTAGCCCCTTAAAATTCATAATGAAGTTTGAACTTCTAGCATCTCAGAATGTGACAGTATTTGGAGATAGGATCTTTAATGAGATAGTTAAGTTAAAATGAGGTCATTAGGGTGAGCCTTAATTCAATATGATTGGTGGGCCGTAATTCAGCATGACAGGTCTCCTTATAAGAGGGCATTTGTATACAGACATGTACAGAGGGAAGACCATATGAAATCTCTGGGAGAAAATGGCCATCTACAAGCTAAGGAGAAAGGCCTCTGAAGAAACTAAACCTGCTGAAATCTTGATCTTGGACATCTAGCCTCCAGACCTATGAGGCGATAATGTTCTGTTGTTTAAGCCACCCAGTTTGTGGTCTTTTATTATGGCAACCCTAGCAAATTAATACAATAGTTAATCTCCAAATAAAGACAATAACAAGGTCATGCTTCCACCCAACAATACAACTGTCTTGTGTAAAATATACCAGCTCTTTCCCCAGAAGAGAATGTAAAGTCCTTGAGTGATGTTCATTTTTCTTGTTTTTCGGTAAGTTATTATAATGTAGAGTTAATACTTAAATACTATGAAATAAAGTCAATATAATGTTATATGATAAAGGAATAAGAGGGAAGGAAACAAAGATATTTAATAAACATATTCATAAAATAATAAGGAAGAAATATTCCCAGAAATTACAATTTTTGTCTTTGTAACTGATCACATAATTATAGCAGGTATTTATAACTACCCTCTTCCACTATCCCTTCTGTATTCTTTTACCCTCAACAAGTACCTCAACTGGTCATGGTTTTTGACTTGGTAGGATGACCTGAAGTTTCTTTCCTGAAGAGTCTGGACAATTACTAGTCCTGTCTAGATTGGATTGTTATGATTTTTCTGTTGATTTTAATCACAGAATGCTAGAACTGGGTGGCCATTTCAGTGTTGGCAGGATCAAACTCCACTCACTTAGACTTGCTGTGTTCCACCCCTCGCAGGAGGGAGTATGCAGGTGATCAGGTCCAGGAGCCAGAATGAGTGCTTTTGGGTACCAGCAGGAGTGAACTCCATGCAGGCTCTGTGGCAGCGTCCAGGTGGTGTGCCTGTGACTCCTGAAGCCCCAGAGGGCATATTACAGTGCTCTTTTAGCTCTGCTGTCTGACAGCTTAAGTGTTAACAACAATTCAGTGGGCTCTCTGCCTTTTTGCATGAGGTGGCTGTCTTCTGTCGATGAGGGCAAGGGGTCAGTGTGACAGTCTTTTGTATCTGCACTTTTGCTTCCGAGCTCTTGTCCACTGTCCAGGAAAAATGAGGCCACATGAACAAATTGAAAGATGATAAATGTGGGGGATTTTATTGCTATGAATGTGGCTCTTAATGGGAAGGGGAGCTAAAAAGGAGATGGGGCAGGTTTTTCCCTGAAGCCCAGCCTTCTGCAACTAGATTCTTCTCTGAAGTTTTGCCATCAGGCTGTCTCTCTGAAGTCAAACCTCTTCTCTCCAACGTCCAGCCGTAGTCCCCAATGTCTGGCAGCTTATTCTCTCTTCAGGCTGAGTCAGGGGTCTTTATAGGTACAAAATGGGGTGGGGCAGGGTGGGGCCATGGGTGGTTTAGGAAAAGGCAACCTTCTAGCAGAAAAACAGGGATATAAGTTCTCATTTTGGTCTGTGGTTTCAAGTTTTCGGCTTAAGGGTGGAGCTTTTGCTAGGGACTCGTCCTTTCCTGCCTAGAATTTTCTGCCCCCTGTCCCTGTCAATTTCAGCAGTGTTCACAGCATCTTCACCAGGAGTTGGTTCTGTCTTCAGAAAGCACTTTCTTTGTTCATCCGTAAGAAGTAAGTCTTCATTCATTCAAATTTTGTCTTAAGATTGCAGCCATTCAGTTACATCTTCAGACTCACTTCTAATTCTAGTTCTCTTGTTGTTTTGGCCACATCAGTAGTGACTTCCTGCACTGAAGTCTTGAAGCCCACAGAGTCATCCATAAGGGTTGGAATCAACTTCCAAATTCCTGCTAATGTTGATATTTTGATGACCTCCTGTGAATCACAACTGTACTTAGTGACATTTAGAAAGCTGAATCTTTTCCGTAAGGTTTTTAAACTTTGCCTAAATCCATCAGAGGAAACACTATTTCTGGCAGCTTATGGCCTTACTGTATGTATTTCTTAAGTAATAAGACTTGAAAGTTAAAATTACTCCTTGATTCATGGGCTGCAGAATAGATGTATTAGCAGAGATGAAAACAACATTAATCTCTTTGTTTATCTCCATCAGAACTTTTGGGTGACAAAGTTTATTTTCAATGAGTGGACATATTTTGAAAGGAATATTGTTTAATAAGCAGTAGTCTCAACATTAAGCTTAAAATGTTTGTAAACCATGCTGTAAACAGATGTGCAATAATCCAGGCTTTGTTGTTTTATTTATAGTGCACAGGCAGAGTAGATACAGCATAAGGTCTTAAGGACGCTGGAATTTTTGGAATGGTAAATGAGCATTGGCTTCAACTTCAAGTCACCAGCTGCATTAGCCCCTAACAAGAGTTGGTTTGTCCTTTGCAGCTTTGAAGCTTGGCATTGACTTCTCCTCTCTAGCTATGAAAGTTGTTAATGACTTCTTCTAATAGAAGGCTATTTCATCTGTATTGAAAATCTGTTGTTTAGTATAGCCATGTTCATTGATGATCTTAGCTAGATCTTTTGGATTACTTTTTTTTGAGACAGAGCCTTGCTCTGTTGCCCAGGCTGGAGTGAAGTGGTGCGATCTTGGCTCACTGCAACCTGTCTCCCAGTTTCAAGCAATTCTTCTGCCTCAGTCTCCCAAGTAGCTGGGAATACAGGTGTGCACCACCATGCCCAGCTAATTTTTGTAGTTTTAGTAGAGACAGTGTTTCACCATGTTGGCCCGGATGATCTTGATCTCTTACCTCGTGATCCGCCCACCTTGACCTCTCAAAGTCTTGGGATTACAGGCATGAGCCACCACACCCAGTCCTTTTGGATAACTTACTGCAGTTCCTCTAAGTAGTACTTGGTACATCACCTTGCATTTTGATGTTATAGAGATGGCTTCTTCCCTTAAACCTGATTAATCAACCTCTGCTGACTTCAAACTTCTCTTCTGCAGCTTTTTCACCTCTCTCAGCCTATATAGAATTGAAGATAGTTAGAGTCTTGCTGTATGATAAGACTGATATTCTAGCCAGATCACTCAAACTTTCTGTATATCAGCAATAAGGCTGTTTTGCTTTCTTATCATTTGTGTGTTCATTGGAATAGGACTTCTAATTTCCTCCAAGAACTTTTACTTTGCATTCACAATGTGACTGTTTGGCGTAAGAGGCCGTGCTTCTTCCTTTTCACGTGCGTTTCTCACTAAGCTTAATAATTTTTAGCTTTTGATTTAAAGTGAAATATTTGGCTCCTCCTTTTACTTGAGCACTTAGAGGCAATTATAATATTATTAATTGGACTAATTTCAATAGTATTGTGTCCAGTGGAATAGAGACACTCCTGGAGAAAGAGAAATGGGAGATTGGCAGGTGGGTGGAGCAGTCAAAACCAATACATTTATCAGTTAAGTTAGTTGTTTTATATGACTGCAGTTTGTGGCACCCCAAAATAATTACAATAGTAATGTCAAGGATTACTGATCACAGATCGCTGATACAGGTATTTTAATGAATAGGTCTGAATTATTCTAGAGTTACCCGACTATGACACAGAGACACAAAGTAAGCACATACTGTTGGAAAAATGGCACCGATAGACTTGATTTCTGCATGGTTGTCACCAACTTTCATTTTGTAAATGAAGGTGCTAAAAGAAGTATCTCTTTGTGCAGTAAAGCGAAGCACTATAATAAAGCAAGGCATGCTTGTAGAAAAGTAATACATATTCATGGTAAAAATGGAAATACACAGAAACACAAAGAGTATCTTACATATAATGTTCTATCATGTTTCCCACCTCATGTGGGAAACTGTATATACAGTTTAGTATATACAGATCTACTTCATTTTTAAAAATTGCTGCATGATATTTTATTGTATATCTGTAGTACAAGGAAGCTTCTAGTCGTCAACATTAAAGTTGTTTCTAGTTTTTTTCATCAAATTTATTACTTTATTGGATTTGTTTATATATTTCTGTGCATTTGTATATCTGTGGGAAAATTTCTAGTCTTGAAATTGCTGGATAAAAATATATATTTTTTTAATTGTCCAAAAAATTGTCCTGATTTTTATTCTCATAACAAAAGTACATGAGAATATCTGTTTTCCCACATTCTCTCCCATGTTGGACTTTAGCATACTTTTTAGTTTTTACCAATGTAATAAAGAAAAACTAATTTATTTCGTTAGTTGTAAGTAGATTTATACATCCTTTCAAATTTTAGGCAATCTCATGTTTAACCATACTCTTACTATTTTTTCTTCATTTGAAATATTTTTTTCTTCTTTCATTTTTCTCTGAACCTTTACCATTCTTCAAGCCCATGTCAAAATTTGTTTTTCATTATTGAATTTCCAAATAACCTCAGAATAACATAATTTTTCCCTCATAATAAATTCAGTGCTTTATTTCTACGTGTCACAATTTTATACCAGTCCTAATAAATATGATTTTTTAATTCTAGGATTTGCAGATTTATAGGATGACTGCACATTAATGGAAAGAGAAGCATAAACCTATCTTGGTTCATTATGGAGGGAGGTTTGGCAGACGGAGAACCTGATAGAACTTCGGTGAGTAGTTCAAATATGACATAGTAAGAGTCTATCATCTATAACTGTGAAGTGTTTGGATGTAAACCAGGGTTTTGTTTTTAAAACATGTTTCTAAAATAATGCTTTAATTCCTTGAGAATTACAGATAGTTTAAGTGATATGAAAATTACAGATAGCTAGTTGGGCATGGTGGCTCACACCTGTAATCCTAGCACTTTGAGAGACTGAGGTGGGTGGATTGCCTGAGCTCAGGAGTTTGAGACCAGCCTGGGCAACATGGCAAAACCCTGTTTCTACTAAAAATACAAAAATTAGCTAGATGTGGTGGCACATGTCTGTATTCTCGATTACTTGAGAGGCTGAGGCAGGAGAATTGCTTGAATTTGGGAGGTGGAGGTTGTAGTGAGCCAAGATAGCGCCTCTGCACTCCAGCCTGGGCGACAGAGTCAGACTCTGTCTCAAAAAAAANAAAAAAAAAAAAAAAAAAAGAAAGAAAGAAAATTACAGATAGCTTAAAGCTTGTTGGAGCACAACCCAGCTTTCTAATATTTCTGCTTCATCTCCTTCTGTTTTACCTATCCTTCCAGCCATATAGTGAAAAACATATTGATATAATTATTTGCTTTCTCCCAAACCTCTTTGTCTTAAGTGAAATCAAGAGAATGTTAACATTTGAGGAAATTAAATGCCTCCAAATTTCATATCACATGGAGCTATGAGTAATAGTGGGAATGAAACAGTTAAAATAATTAAGAGCAGTTGCCATATATATTCTTTTTATAAAAATATAAAGATGTAATAAACATTTCTGCCCTGTGATCATAATTGAATTATATTCTGAAATTAAACAAGTAGTAGGTAGAAGGAAAAGTATACCTTACCCAATACATTTTTAAAAAATCACTAGTAGGGTGGACTAAATGATGATTTGCCATTTTTTGTCACTGTACAAAAAGACTTTCCTCCAGGGTAATTTCATTTTCAATTCTCCTATGGCATTCTGAGTGACTCCATTATATATTGGTTTATAGACTCTCAGAAATGTTTCTGTTACCTAGAGTAAAGGTGCCCCCTTCAGTAAAATGTAGTCAGCTGGTAGCTTTATCATAGTTAGGTGGTAGATTCTTTAACAAACTTACATTATTGGAATAAGGAGAGGCCAGCTTTTCTTTTGTATCACTATGGAATTGAGAGTCACTATTACATTGAGGTGTTTGTAAATTTTAATTTAGTGAATGTCCTTTGTTCAGGCTCCAGTGTAGGAACAGTCTTAATGATTGATAGCAAAATGCAGTTTTGCTGACTTGAATTAACCTGGTCCCAGCCTTTCTTGGATTTCTGGTTCAGTCTTGTTATGGGTTCTTAAATGATCAAAAAAAGTTAAACTTTAAAATAAGTTGTTAGTAGAGAATAAAATGGGTGTGGGAATAACTTGGCTTATGAAGAAGGCTGTTGTCATGTTGATTTAAATGGAAAATGATTGGTAAGTTACTTTATTTTTACTATAATTTCGGAAGAAAAGTTAAGATTAAGCCTTGTCTGTAGAACTTAATGTTGATTTTACAATAAAGCTTACCTTTAAAAACAAAACAAAACAAAACAAAACTAATGGACTATCTTAGGTTTTTTCAGCTCAAATACTTTTGGTCTTTTAGTGAAGTTAAAAATATCAGTAATAACTGCAGTTGCTGTTTTTAAGTGTATGTTTTGTTAGACTGTCCTCATAACAGCTATTAAAGGTAGATATTTCTTTATCCTCACTTTTATAGATAGGGAAATAGGCTCAGGGTGGTTAATTATCTTCTTTAAGGCTTCACAGCTTAAGTGATAGAACTGAAATCTGTCTCTGAATACTTTACTACTAAGATGTTAACTGCGTACCTGTGTTTCTCAATAGAGTTTCTTAAAATTTGTTGTTATCTTTCAAAGTAAGTATACAAGTAAATGTTACTACATTTTATTACCAGACTCTTTGGCTGAAGTAATAAAGTTTTAGTCATTTTCTATTCCAAATTTTGTTGAAAAATTAAAAGTTGTTTAAAAAGTAGTGACCAGATATGGTGGGGTTTACACCTGTAATCCCAGCACTTTGGGAGGCCGAGGCGGGTGGATCACCTGAGGCCAGGAGTTCGAGGCAGCCTGGCCAACATGATGAAACTTTGCCTCTACTTAAAACACAAAAAATTAGCCAGGCATGGTAATGGATGCCTGTAATCCCAGCTACTGTGGAGGCTGAGGCAGGAGAATTGCTTGAAGCTGGGAGGTGTAGGTTGCAGTGAGCTGAGATTGCACCACCAGCCTGGTTAACAAGAGCGAAACTCCATCTCATAAAATAAAAAAGTCATGAGACCAGTTTTTCTTTTCTTTTTCATTAGGTTTCTTCTGTCAAATATTGTAGCTAATTTTAGAGAGAATAATACCAGTAATTTCAGTGTGAACTACTGAAATGTTCTGTATTTGGAACTAACATCGAGGTCCACTTTTGAGTTAACTATAAAATACCACCTTTGAACTACTTGGCCTCTGCTAGTTACTGTTTAGATCTGGGAGAAGTGGATAAGAACGTCGGCTCTGTAAGACACTTAGCTACATGTTAAAATCTGAGCTCTGTCACTTAGTTGTATGACCTGGGTAATAAATTCTTCAGGTTTTCAGTTTCCTTATAAGTAGATATAATTGTACTATCTACCTCCCAAAGTTATTTTCAATATTAAGTGAGAAAACATGTCTATAGAGTGCCTATTAGAAGACTATGCATATTGTAAATATCTGTTAAATAAAAGCAACTATTTTTTTTAACTTTGCTACAATATTAACCATTAATACTGAAAAAGCAACCATTTTTATTGTTAATATAACTATTAAGCCTTCTCTCCAAAAAGATAAATAATTAAAAGTCAGGAGAAGCCTGTGAAGATTGAATGGTTGCTCTAGACTGGAGTAGTTGGAGAAGCTTTCTTAGGAGAACATAAACTTTGAATTACACGTGAACGTAAGGATAATAGGATTGAAAAATGAGCAAGGAAAGCATGCCAGATGAGAGAATAGCAGGAGACAAGGCTAAATAGGGAATTAATTGCCCAGTTTATTCAGGTTATAATTAATATTAAAAAAATAAGGAAGGATGGAAGAAAGTGAGTGATGTTTAGAGGAATGATGATTGATGTGACAGATAGAGACCCAGTTTATGCAAGACTTTGAGTGCTAGACCAGGGATTTTGAACTTAATTCTGCAAGTAGTGGTTTCTTATTGAGTATTTTTGTGTAGATGGGACTGAAAGCAGTGTATAAAATTATTTGGAGGAGTGAGTATTAAGAGACTATTACAAGGCCGGGCGCAGTGACTTACGCCTGTAATCTCAGCACTTTGGGAGGCAGAGGCAGATGGATCACCTGAGGTCAGAAGTTCAAAACCAGCCTGGCCAACATGACGAAACCCCATCTGTACTAAAAATACAAAAATTAGCTGGATGTGGTGGCAAGCGCCTATAATCCCAGCTACCTGGGAGGCTGAGGCATGAAAATTGCTTGAACCTGGGAGGTGGAGGTTGCAGTGAGCCAAGATTGTGCCATTGCACTCCAGCCTGTGCAACAAGAGTGAAACGCTGTCTCAGGAAAAAAAAAGAGACAAAGTGATCTTGGTGTGAGGTTGTGAAAAAATCTGACTTCATTATTCATTTGATTTCCTTCTTGCTCTTAATGCTTTTTTTTTTTGAGATGGAGTCTGGCTCTGTTGCCCAGGCTGGAGTGCAGTGGAGTACAGTGGTGCTATCTCAGCTCACTGCAACCTCCACCTCCCTGGTTCGAGCAATTCCCCTGCCTGAGCCTCCTGAGTAGCCAGGATTACAGATACAAGCCACCACATCTGACTAATTTTTTTGTATTTTTAGTAGAGACGGGGTATCACCATGTTGGCCAGACTGGTCTTGAATTCCTGACCTCCGGCAAGTGCTGGGATTATAGGCATGAGGTACTGTGCCTGGCCAATACTATATTTTTTAAAAACACATATGCTCATTTGTTATTCTAGTTGCATATGGTTCTGTTTTTCTAGTAGTGCTTTTTGTCTTAGATGGCAGGTACTAGAAGGTATATATTAAGTCTGCCTGTCTATATGTTATACTTTTATGCCACAGAGCGTGAGAATACTTTTTAATATGTCTTAAACTATCTTTTGAAAGTTTACAATTTTCACTCTAGAAATTTACTGCTAAAAATGCAGCAAACCATTACCATGGCACATGTATACCTATGTAACAAACCTGCACGATCTGCACATGTACCCCAGAACTTAAATAAATAAATTAATTAAAAATGCTTTAAAACGTCAAATTTTTATGACTAGATTGAAGTAGACTAAAGAAGTGAAGTATCCTTCTAGATTAAAAAAATTGAATAGTTCCTCACCTTAAGGATAGTCACTCTATTTTTTGAAGCATTTCTGAATTATTATTTCTTTTATCTCTTGAAACAAAGGAAACTGCTTCATAAGTTTTATTAGAGGGTAAAATCTTTTATTGTATTAAAAATGATTTTATAAATGACTTTTTAGAAGAGAATAACAATTAAAAAGATGTATATGAATCTTTGTTGAGTGTATAAAGACTCTCAATTGAGAAAATCTTTAAGATTCTAATTCATGTTGGGTACCTTGAATCCAAAGACTTTCTGAAGTGGAAGGAACTGCAAAAATCATTTAGTAATTCAGTAATTCTTAGAATATAGTCAGTGAATGTCTTCCTGGAGAGCCTAGAGATGATCCAACTTCCTGTAACTAGCTGAGTTATTCATAATTTAGATTTGGTGATCATAAAATAAAATTGCTGTGTTATTACAGTTTATTCAAAGCCTAAATTATATTCTAAGAAGTCCAGCTATCTATAAAAATTGACTACATTTTAGAACTTGTGCATTTGAATTAATGGAATTACACCACTTTTTGCTACAGCAAGTATTATTTTGAGTAGATCACAGTGTTTAAATATTTCCGTTTTTGTTCTGTTATAAATACTAACTGA